TTTGAGGTGAATCTGGGGGGATTTGAGGGTAAATCTGGGCGGGCTTGGCAAAGCTGGGCAGGATTTGGGTCAAATCCAGAGGAATTTGGGCAAATCCTGGTGTAAATTGAGCAAATCCGGGGGGTTGGGGCAAATCTGGGGGGATTTGGGGCAAATCTGAGGGGTTTGAGGCAAATCTGGGGGGATTTGGGGACAAACCTGGGGCGTTTGGGAAAAATCCAGGGGGTTTTGGGCAAATAATCTGAGGGGTTTTTGGGCAAATCCTGGTGTATTGGGGCAAATCTGAGGGGTTTGAGGCAAATCTGGGGGGATTTGGGGCAAATCTGAGGGGTTTGAGGCAAATCTGGGGGGATTTGGGGACAAACCTGGGGCGTTTGGGAAAAATCCAGGGGGTTTTGGGCAAATCTGGGGGGTTTTGGGGGAAATGCGGGGGGATTTGGGGCAAAGCTGGGCAGGATTGGGGTCAAATCTGGGGCGTTTTGGGGAAATCCAAGGGGATTTGGGGTAAATCTGGGGAGTTTTGGGGGCAAATCCAGGGAGTTTGAGGCAAATCCGGGGGGATTTGGGGCAGTCTGGGGGTGCTGACCCCTGTGTCCCCCCGTGTCCCCCTCAGGGACCCCGACGGAGGAGACGTGGCCGGGCATCGGTGCCAACGCCGAGTTCCGGGCACACAAATACCCCCTGTACCCCCCCGAGGGGCTGCGGCAGCACGCGCCACGGTCAGGGACACGGCGGGGACACGGGGTGGCACCTGGCCTGGGGGTGGCACACGGGGTGGCACCTGTCCTGTGGGGTGGTTTCTGTCCTTTGGGGTGGCACCTGTCCCATAGAATGTCACCTGTGCCATGGGATGGCACCTGGGCCAAGGGTGGCACCTGTCCCATAGTGGTGACACTGTCCCCTGGGGGGGCAGCTGTGTCATAGACTGGCACCTGTCCCACAGTGGTCACACGTGTCCCTTGTGGTGGCATCTGTCCTTTGAGGGTGACACCTGCCATGGGGTGGCACCTGTCGGCAAATCTGGGGGGATTTGGGGCAAATCTGAGGGGTTTGAGGCAAATCTGGGGGGATTTGGGGACAAACCTGGGGCGTTTGGGAAAAATCCGGGGGGTTTTGGGCAAATCTGGGGGGTTTTGGGGGAAATGCGGGGGGATTTGGGGCAAAGCTGGGCAGGATTGGGGTCAAATCTGGGGCGTTTTGGGGAAATCCAAGGGGATTTGGGGTAAATCTGGGGAGTTTGGGGGCAAATCCAGGGAGTTTGAGGCAAATCCGGGGGGATTTGGGGCAGTCTGGGGGTGCTGACCCCTGTGTCCCCCCGTGTCCCCCTCAGGGACCCCGACGGAGGAGACGTGGCCGGGCATCGGTGCCAACGCCGAGTTCCGGGCACACAAATACCCCCTGTACCCCCCCGAGGGGCTGCGGCAGCACGCGCCACGGTCAGGGACACGGGGACACGGGGGGACAGCGGGGTGGCACCTGGGCTGGGGGTGGCACATGGGGTGGCACCTGTCCCGTGGGGTGGTTTCTGTCCTTTGGGGTGGCACCTGTCCCATAGAATGTCACCTGTGCCATGGGATGGCACCTGGGCCAAGGGTGGCACCTGTCCCATAGTGGTGACACTGTCCCCTGGGGTGGCAGCTGTGTCATAGACTGGCACCTGTCCCACAGTGGTCACACGTGTCCCTTGTGGTGGCATCTGTCCTTTGAGGGTGACACCTGCCATGGGGTGGCACCTGTCCCTGGGTGTCACTGTCCCCAGTGTCACTGTCCCTGGGTGTCACTGTCCCATGGGTGTCACTGGGTGTCACTGTCCCTGGGTGTCACTCTCCCATGGGTGGCACTGTCCCTGGGTGTCCCTGGGTGTCACTGTCCATGGGTGTCACTGTCCCCATGGGTGTCACTGTCCCTGGGTGTCCCATGAGTGTCACTGTCCCTGGGTGTCCCATGGGTGTCACTGTCCCCTCTGTCCCCAGGCTGGACCAGGACGGCGCCGATCTCCTGGGGCAGCTGCTGCAGGTGAGCTGGGCGTGGCCTGCGCTGGCCCCGCCCCTTTGGCCACACCCCAAGCGACCACACCCTCCCCACCCCTCCCCCATGGGCGTGGCTCCCGGGAGGGGGTGGGGAAGCAGCCACGCCCCTTGGGTGGGCGTGGCTGGGGTTTGGCACAGCCACGCCCCTCCGTGGGCGTGTCCCACGGGCGGGCGTGGCCTGACGGGGCGGGGCAGTTCGAGGGGCGGCGGCGGCTGCCGGCGGCCGAGGCCATGGGACACGCCTTCTTCAGCTGCCTGGGGCCGCGCGTCAGCGCCCTGCCCGACAGTGAGTGGGCGGGGCCGGGGCGGGGCCGGGGGCGGGGCTTGCGTGGGTGTGGCACTGGGGTGGGGGTTTATGTGGGTGGGGCACTGTGGGAGGGGCCTTGTGTGGGCGTGGCATTGGGGAGGCGTTTCTGTGGGTGTGGCAGTGGGCGGGGCTTCACATGGATGTGCTGCTGGGCGGGGCTTCGTGTGGGTGTGGCCCTGGGGGTGGAGCTTCGTATGGGTGTGGCACTGGGGGAGACTTTGGGTGTGGGGCATTCTGTGGGTGTGGCACTGGGGGCGGGGCTTCATATGGGTGTGGCACTGGGTGAGACTTTGGGTGTGGGGCATTCTGTGGGTGTGGCACTGGGGGCGGGGCTTCACATGGGTGCAGCACAGGGTGAGACTGGGTGTGGCACTGGGGGCGGGGCTTTGTGTGGGTGTGGCACTGGGGTGGGGTTTTACATGGGTGTGGCATTGGGGGAGGAGCTTCTGTGGGTGTGGCACTGGGGGCGGGGCTTCACATGGGTGCAGCACAGGGTGAGACTGGGTGTGGCACTGGGGGCGGGGCTTTGTGTGGGTGTGGCACTGGGGTGGGGTTTTACATGGGTGTGGCATTGGGGGAGGAGCTTCTGTGGGTGTGGCACTGGGGGCGGGGCTTCACATGGGTGCAGCACAGGGTGAGACTGGGTGTGGCACTGGGGGCGGGGCTTTGTGTGGGTGTGGCACTGGGGTGGGGTTTTACATGGGTGTGGCATTGGGGGAGGAGCTTCTGTGGGTGTGGCACTGGGGGCGGGGCTTCACATGGGTGCAGCACAGGGTGAGACTGGGTGTGGCACTGGGGGCGGGGCTTTGTGTGGGTGTGGCACTGGGGTGGGGTTTTACATGGGTGTGGCATTGGGGGAGGAGCTTCTGTGGGTGTGGCACTGGGGGCGGGGCTTCACATGGGTGCAGCACAGGGTGAGACTGGGTGTGGCACTGGGGGCGGGGCTTTGTGTGGGTGTGGCACTGGGGTGGGGTTTTACATGGGTGTGGCATTGGGGGAGGAGCTTCTGTGGGTGTGGCACTGGGGGCGGGGCTTCACATGGGTGCAGCACAGGGTGTGTCACTGTCCCCAGTGTCACTGTCCCATGGGTGTCACTGTCCCTGGGTGTCACTGTCCCCAGTGTCACTGTCCCATGGGTGTCACTGTCCCTGGGTGTCCCATGGGTGTCACTGTCCCTGGGTGTCACTGGGTGTCACTGTCCCCATGGGTGTCCCATGGGTGTCACTGTCCCATGGGTGTCACTGTCCCTGGGTGTCACCCATGGGCACTGTCCCCATGGGTGTCCCATGGGTGTCACTGTCCCCATGGGTGTCCCTGGGTGTCCCATGGGTGTCACTGTCCCCTCTGTCCCCAGGCTGGACCAGGACGGCGCCGATCTCCTGGGGCAGCTGCTGCAGGTGAGCTGGGCGTGGCCTGCGCTGGCCCCACCCCTTTAGCCACACCCCAACTGACCACACCCTCCCCACCCCTCCCCCATGGGCGTGGCTCCCGGGAGGGGGCGGGGAAGCAGCCACGCCCCTTGGGTGGGCGTGGCTGGGGTTTGGCACAGCCACGCCCCTCCGTGGGCGTGTCCCACGGGCGGGCGTGGCCTGACGGGGCGGGGCAGTTCGAGGGGCGGCGGCGGCTGCCGGCGGCCGAGGCCATGGGACACGCCTTCTTCAGCTGCCTGGGGCCGCGCGTCAGCGCCCTGCCCGACAGTGAGTGGGCGGGGCCGGGGCGGGGCCGGGGGCGGGGCTTGCGTGGGTGGGGCTTAGCAATGGGTGGGTGGAGCTATGTAAATCAGGGGTGTGGTTTTTCTGGGGGTGTGGCCTGTGCTGACCACACCCCGATCGTGTCCCCGCCCCCAGCCACGTCCATCTTCGCGCTGAAGGAGATCCAGCTGCAGAAGGAGCCGGGGCTGCGCTCGGGGCCGCTGCCCCCCACGGGTGAGACCCCGAAATCCTGAACCCCAAAAACCCCCTGAACCCCAAAATCCTGATCCCCAAAAACCTGAAACCCAAAAACCCTGAACCCCAAAAACCTGAACCCCAAAATCCTGAACCCCAAAAACCTGAACCCCTAAAACCCCTGAACCTCAAAAACCTGAACCCCAAAAACCTGATCCCCTAAAACCCCTGAACCCCTAAAACCTGAACCCCAAAAACCCCTGAACCCCTAAAACCGGAACCCCAAAAACCTGAACCCCAAAAACCTGAACCCCAAAATCCTGAACCCCAAAAACCTGAACCCCTAAAACCCCTGAACCTCAAAAACCTGAACCCCAAAAACCTGATCCCCTAAAACCCCTGAACCCCTAAAACCTGAACCCCAAAAACCCCTGAACCCCTAAAACCGACGTGGGACCCCCATTCTGGGGGGGTCTGGGGGGGATTTGGGGTCCCCCCCGTTTTTTGGGGTCCCCTCCCCATTTTTGGGGTCCCCCCCATTTTTTGGGGGGGGTCTCCCCCCCCGGTTTACGTCGAGTTTTATTTTTTCAAGGCAATATTATAAATCAGAGTCTATATCGGCCCCTCCCCCCGGGGGCGGGGCCTGAGGGGGCGGGGCCTGATGGGGGAGGGGCCAAAAGGGGAGTGGGGGAGGGGCGCTTACTCGGAGGTTACTCGGCCTTTACTCCAGGGTTACTCGGGGCTGCGGCGTCTCCTGGGAGGGTCCCCTGCAAGGCTGGGCCTGGTTACTCCAGGGTTACTCAGACTTTACTCCAAGGCTGGTCCCAGGTTACTCCAGGGTTACTCCGGGGTTATTCATACTTTACTCCAAGGTTACTCCGGGATTACTCAGACTTTACTCCAAGGTTGCCCCGGGGTTACTCCACGGTTTTTCCGGGGTTACTCATACTTTACTCCAAGGTTATTCCGGGGTTACTCTGACTTTACTCCAAGGCTGGGCCCAGGTTACTCCGACTTTACTCCGACTTTACTCCAAGGCTGGACCCGCTTCACTCCATCGTTACTCTGTGGTTACTCCAGGATTACTACAACTCTACTCCATGGTTACTCAGCCTTTACTCCAAGGTTGGGCCCAGGTTACTCCAGGGTTACTCAGACTTTACTCCAAGGCAGCTCAGGCCCAGCTCTGGGCCACCCCTGCCCTACTCCAGGGTTACTCCGGGGTTACTCCTCAGCCGTTCTCTGCTCCTGCTCTCGGTTACTCCTGAGTTACTCCTGAGCTACTCCTGAGTTACTCCAGGTTCTCAGAGCCTGCTCAGGACTCGATTCCTACTCAGACTTTACTCCCGAGTTACTCACGGCCAGGGCGGGGCCTTTACTCAGCTCTTACTCTGGGCTCCTCCTGGAGATCCTCACTCTGCGTTTACTCCGAGTTTACTCCAAGTTTACTCAGCCTTTGAGGTACTCGGATCTACAGGCAGAACTTACTCCAGACTTACTCCAGATTTACTCCAGGCTTACTCAGCTCCTTACTCCGGCCTTGCTCAGCTCCCCTTTTTGGGTTGTTTTCGGTCCTTTTGCGCTACTCAGCCCTTACTCAGCCTTTACTCAGCCTTTACTCAGCCCTTACTCAGCCCTCACTCCGGGTGCTTTGCTCCTCTTGGCCTTTGCTCCGCCCTTACTCCGAGCTTACTCAGCCTCTGTTCAGAGGTCACTCAGCCTTTACTTGGATGTTACTCAGCCCTTACTCAGCCTTTACTCCGAGGTTACTCCGGCCTTGCATGGCCCCGCCCCTCACAGCTGGGGTTACTCCCCCTTTACTCAGCCCCTCCCCCGCCTGCCCAGCCCCTCCCCCCGCTACTCAGAGGTTGCTCAGACTTTACTCACACCTTACTCAGCCCCGCTCGCCGCGCTGCTCCAGCCGATACTCCCAGGATACTCCAGGGATACTTCACAGATACTCACCCTTTACACTCAGCTCTTACTCCGAGGTTACTCCGAGGTTACTCCGACCCTGAGGGGCTGAGCAGACGCTACTCCAGGGTTACTCACACTTCACTCCAGGCTGACACGTTACTCCGGGGTTACTCCCACGTTACTCCGAGGTGACACTTTGAGGTGACGTCTTACTCCGAGGTGAACGTGTTACTCCGGGGTTACTCACGCTTTACTCCAGGCTGACACTTCGGGGTGGTTTTACTCCGGGGTTACTCCCACGTTACTCCAAGGTGGGGCTTCACTCCAGGGTTACTCTCACGTTACTCCGAGGTTACTCCGAGGTTACTCCGAGGTGACATTTTACTCTGGGGTTACTCACACTTTACTCCAGGGTTACTCCGAGGTTCCTGCCCCTCCCCCAGCCTCACTCAGGACCGCCCCTCCTGCTCCAGCCGATACTCCCAGGATACTCCAGGGATACTTCACAGATACTCACCCTTTACACTCAGCTCTTACTCCGAGGTTACTCCGAGGTTACTCCGACCCTGAGGGGCTGAGCAGACGCTACTCCAGGGTTACTCACACTTCACTCCAGGCTGACACGTTACTCCGGGGTTACTCCCACTTTACTCCGAGGTGACACTTTGAGGTGACGTCTTACTCCGAGGTGAACGTGTTACTCCGGGGTTACTCACGCTTTACTCCAGGCTGACACTTCGGGGTGGTTTTACTCTGAGGTTACTCCCACTTTACTCTGGGGTTACTCACACGTTACTCCAAGGTGGGGCGTTACTCCAGGGTTACTCCGAGGTTACTCCGAGGTGACATTTTACTCTGGGGTTACTCACACTTTACTCCAGGGTTACTCCGAGGTTCCTGCCCCTCCCCCAGCCTCACTCAGGACCGCCCCTCCCCCCCCCGGCCGTGGGGGCGTGGCCTGGCTCCGCAGGGGGCGGGGTCTCCGTGGCCCCGCCCCCAGGTCGGGGGCGGGGCGAGCCCCACCTCCTTTATGACGTCACGGGGGGAGGGGGAAGGGGCGGGGCCGCGGCGTTTCTGTAACGGGACCGGACCATTAAAACCTCCCCGGGAGCGGCGTGAGCGTTTGTGACCCCAAAGCGCCCCCGGCGCCCCAAAACCGCCCCGTGAGACCCCCCGGACCCCAAAACCCCCCCGGGATCCCAAAACCCCTCGAGACCCCAAAACCTTCCTGGGACCCCAAAACACCCCCGGACCCCAAAACCTTCCTGGGACCCCCCGGGACCCCCCTCCCCCCGCGCCTTCCCGCCATTCCACGCGCTCCCCTCCTCCCCCCCCGCCACAATGGTCTCTTCCACGCGCCCAAGGGGCGTGGCCAGAGAGGGCAGCCAATGGCGTGGCGGCGCTGCGGTCACGTGGGGGGCGGAGCTGGTTAAAAGCGGCGGGGCGGGGCGGGCGCGGCCTCATTCCGGGCCCGTCCGGCGCCGCTCGGGTGAGGCTGGGCCGCTCCTGTCGCGACTCTTCTCGCTCTTCCCTCTCCTTCTGTCGCGATAATCGCGCCTTTCGCTGCTCTCGGGCCGCTCTTTTCCCTTCCCCCCCCGCTCCTTTTCCGCTCCTTTTCCCGCCTCGCCGCCCTGAGGGCCGCGCGGGCTCTGCGCATGCGCGCGCGCGCGGCGGGAGCGGCACTTCCGGGGGGCGCCCACGTGGCCGGGCCGGGGGGGGAGGGGAAGGGACCGGGGCTGTGACGTCACGGGGGGGCGCTGCGTGACGTCAGCAGGAGGGGACGCGTGGAGCTGATGGGATTGGGGGGCGCTGAGGGGGTGTGACGTCACTGGAGGGCGCGCGGGAGGGTGTGATGATGTCATTGGGGGTGTGACGTCACTGGGAAGGCGGTGATGTCGGAGAGTCGGGTGGCGTGACGTCATCAGACACGAGGGGTGAGGGCTATGGCGTCACGGGGGGGTCTTTGCCGCGGTTGTGACGTCAGAATCCGCTTTGCGGGCAGGTTATTACGTCATCACAGGGGCTGGGCCCCGCCCTATGACGTCACGGCCAGCCCCGCCCCCCCACGCATGGCGGCGGAGGAGGGGAAGTTGTTCGTGGGGGGCCTCAACTACGACACGGACGAGCAGGGCCTGGAGCAGCACTTCAGCTCCTTCGGGCCCATCTCCGAGGGTGAGAGAGAAAAATACACCAAAAACAGCCAAAAATGTCCCAAAAATATCATTAAAATACCTTAAAATATCCTAAAATATCCTTAAAACTACCCAAAAATATCCCTAAAACACCCCTGGGGCAGCACTTCAGCTCCTTCGGGCCCATTGCGAGGGTGAGAGAGAAATACACCGAAAATATCCCAAAAACATCAAAAAATATCCCAAAATATCCTTAAAGTATCCCAAAATATCCCAAAAATATCCCTAAAACACCCTTGGGGCAGCACTTCAGCTCCTTCGGGCCATCTCCGAGGGTGAGAGAAAAAAATACACCAAAAATGGCAAAAAATATCCCAAAAATATCATTAAAATACCTTAAAGTATCATAAAATATCCTTAAAGTATCCCAAAAATACCCTAAAACACCCCCGGGGCAGCACTTCAGCTCCTTCAGGCCCATCTCTGAGGGTGAGAGAGAAAATACACCGAAAATATCCCAAAAACATCAAAAAACATCCTAAAATTATCCCAAAGTATCCTTAAAGTATCCTGAAATATCCCAAAATATCCCTAACACACCCCTGGGGCAGCACTTCAGCTCCTTCGGGCCCATCTCCGAGGGTGAGAGATAAAAATACGCCAAAAACGGCAAAAAACATCCCAAAATTATCCCAAAATATCCTTAAAAGTATCTTAAAATATCATAAAATATCAAAAAAATATCCCTAAAACACCCCTGGAGCAGCACTTCCACTTCTTCAGGCCCATCTCTGAGGGTGAGAGCAGAAATACACCAAAACCAGCCAAAAATGTCCCAAAAATATCCCAAAATATCCTCAAAGTACCCTAAAACATCCCAAAATCTCACTAAAATGTCATAAAATATTCTTTAAGTATCCCAAAAATACCCTAAAACAGCTCTGGGGCAGCACTTCAGCTCCTTCGGGCCCATCTCCGAGGGTGAGAGCAAAATACACCAAAAATATCCCAAAAACATCAAAAAATACCCCAAAATATCTTTAAAAGTACCTTAAAATATCATAAAATATCCCAAAAATACCCTAAGACACCCCTGGAGCAGCACTTCAGCTCCTTCGGGCCCATTGCGAGGGTGAGGGGAAAAAACATCCAAAATTACACCAAAAATATCCTAAAATATCTCTCAACATCCCTAAAATATCTTAAAAAACCACCTCAGAAATATCCCAAAAATATCCCAAAAATACCCCAAATACCCAAAAATGTCTTGGTTGTCTTGGGGCCATTTTGGGGACGTTTGGGGGATGGGTTTGGTTTATTTTTGGGGTGCATTTGGGGTTATTTAGAGGCTGTTTTGGGGCTGGTTTTGGGTTCCTTTGTGGGGTGTTTTTGGGGCCATTTCGGGGCTGTTTTGGGGTTATTTTGGGGCTGTTTGGGTTGTTTTGGGGCCATTTCTGGGTTATTTTGGGGCCGTTTCGTGGCTGATTTTGGGTTATTTTGGGTTATTTTGGGGCTGTTTTTGGGTTATTTGGGGCCGTTTTGGGGTTGGTTGGGTTATTTTGGGGCTGGTTTTGGGGATATTTTGGGGTTGTTTTTGGGGCTGGTTTTGGGGGTTATTTTGGGGCCGATTTTGGGTTCTTTTGGGGCCAGTTTGGGGCTGATTTTGGGTTATTTGGGGCCGTTTCGGGGCTGTTTTTGAGTTATTTGGGGCCGTTTTGGGGTTGGTTGGGTTATTTTGGGGCTGATTTTGGGTTATTTTGGGGCCATTTTAGGGCCGTTTTTGGGTTATTTTGGGGCCGTTTTGGGGCTGATTTTGGGGCCGGTTTAGGGCCATTTTTGGGTTATTTTGGGGCTGGTTTTGGGGGTTATTTTGGGGCCATTTTGGGGCCATTTTAGGGCCGGTTTTGGGTTCTTTTGGGGCCATTTTGGGGCTGATTTTGGGTTATTTTGGGGCCGGTTTGGGGCTGATTTTGGGGCCATTTTAGGGCCGTTTTTAGGTTATTTTGGGGCCGGTTTGGGGCTGATTTTGGGTTATTTTGGGGCTGATTTTGGGCTGTTTTCCCCGTGCCCAGTGGTGGTGGTGAAGGACAGGGAGACCCAGCGCTCGCGCGGCTTCGGCTTCGTCACCTTCAGCAACCCCGAGCACGCCAGCGACGCCATGCAGGCCATGAACGGGGAGGTGGGACAGCGGGGACACCTGGGAGGGACCTGGGGACAGCGGGGACACACCTGGGGACACACCTGGGACAGCGGGGACACACCTGGGGACGGGACAGCGGGGACACCTGAGATACCTGGGGACACCTGGGGACAGCGGGGACACACCTGAGATACCTGGGGACACACCTGGGACAGCGGGGACACCTGAGATACCTGGGGACACACCTGGGACAGCGGGGACACCTGAGATACCTGGGGACACCTGGGGACAGCGGGGACACACCTGAGATACCTGGGGACACACCTGGGACACCTGGGCGACAGCAGGGACACCTGGGGACAGCGGGGACAGCGGGGACACCTGAGATACCTGGGGACACACCTGGGACAGCGGGGACACCTGAGATACCTGGGGACACCTGGGGACAGCGGGGACACACCTGAGATACCTGGGGACACACCTGGGACACCTGGGGGACAGCAGGGACACCTGGGGACAGCGGGGACACACCTGGGGGCAGCGGGGACACACCTGGGACACACCTGGGGACACTGGGGACACACCTGGGGACAGCAGGGACACACCTGGGGACACGCCTGGGGACACCTGGGGACACACCTGGGGGACAGCGGGGACACCTGGGGGTACCTGGGGACACTGGGAACACACCTGAGACACCCCTGAGATACCTGGGGACAGCTGGGGACACACCTGGAGACACCTGGGGGACACCTGGGGGCACTTAGGGGACACCTGGGACACACCTGGGGGACACCTGGGGGGTGTTGGGGTACACTTGGGCACACCTGGAGGGAATTTTGGGGACACCTGGTGACACTTGGGAGGGACTTGGGAGAGTCCTGGGGACACCTGGGGGGGTTTGGGGTCCCCAGGGGGGGTTGGGGGCAGAACTGGGGACCCGAGCAGGTTTGGGGCACTCAGAGGGGGCTGGGGGGTCTCGGGGGGCACCGAGGGGTGTCCCCAAATGTCCCCAAACGTCCCCAAATGTCCCCAAATGTCCCCAAACGTCCCCAAACGTCCCCAAATGTCCCCAAATTTCCCCAAACGTCCCCAAACGTCCCCAAACGTCCCCGCAGTGCCTGGACGGGCGGCAGATCCGCGTGGATCACGCCGGGAAATCGCCCCGGGGGTCCCGGGGGGGCTTCGGGGGCCCCCGGGGCCGGGCCAGGGGCTACGGCCGAGGTGAGATGGGGGAGGGGCT